TACAATGAGGTTTGACCTGAAGTACCCACTGCGTAGCACACATTCAAACAGAGTTAAATATCGGCAGTGGCGAAGCGTCTATATAATCTAATAATCCCTGCTTCCCTTCCTAATTTTGAAACATTGTCTCATTCAAATTTCCCCATAGACGTAAACCTCATAAATTAAATGTAAAAAGACGTTCATAATCACCAATGAACAGTATCTGTAACATTCAAAACGGTTTTGTTGCCTCAGAAATAGCCTGTTCATCCCAATCGGGCCACTCCATAAGCAGTCGCAAGCTTTGATTAAGTAAGCTTAAAGTGAGGCTTGAAGAGTCTACCAAAAGAGTTGGAGGGAACATGTGCACAGCATTCAAAACTGTTTCATTGCCACATATACCCTATTCACCCCTTTCGGCCCCAGTTGTAAGCAGTGACAAGCACTGATTATGTAAGCTGACTATTACACTGGTCGAGTCTACCTCACAGATATGAGGGGAACTAACTCCTAATAATGTCTTGACTGCTGCGAGTGCTTTTTTTTCCTCGACTTTTTATCGTCCCATAATCTGACCGTGACCTCTTTTATGACACCGGCTTCTGGCCTCGAAAGGCTCGACAAAAGCAGCCAAATTTGAAATTTAAAAAATAATAATTGTCGTGTTCTACCAAAGAGTTCTACCAAAGAGTTTGACATCTCTTCTTCATTCCTTTGTGTTTGTGTATTTACATCTAAAGTTAAATTTAATGTCAGTTGGAACAAATATTTAGTGAAATTAATATGCTTTACCGATTATTTTAACGGTTGAACAAGCAAAGAACATGAATTCAGGATTCGCTTTCATTCACAACTCGGTGTTGCCGCCTCAAGTAAGATTCAAGTGTGATATCTGCAGGCCCTGTCTGGTCCCATCTCACTTTGATTACCCTGTCAAACAAGCCAGCCTTCGCATCGAGATTCTAGATCTGGAAACAGTAGAAGCAGCTTCGTAAACACAAAGTAGAAATCTGTGTCACACACACGGCAAAGCACGAACCGCATTTCTGCTTTTGCAAACTACTCTAAATCAGTCTTGAATTCTGTGCTCCTAATACGTCTAGGATATAGAGAAATCTAGATCTAGAGTCTTGCTCTATAAAAACTACGCTCCAAATACGCGCCAAATTTTTAAAATGTCAATACAACGAAGTAAACATGTTGTGGGTTTAAGGGGGGGAGGGGGGAGGGGGGAGGGGGGAGGGGGGGGAGGGGGGAGGGGGGGCTACACCTGAAGGCTATGTCGCTTATTACTGGACCAAATTTTACCACATTTCACATATAACATGCATAGTAAGGAGTCTTTAAATCCGCAATCAAATTTGAGAAAAAGTTTCGTTTCCATGGATACGGCGGCCATATTGGATTTTGTTGACATGTCTTACGTAATAAATACCGCACTTATCGCTCATGGAAATTGAATATATTTTGGCATGCGTGTTTACAAACATTAGGTCTAAAAATTTCTCTGTTGTTTTTTCCTAAACGAATTAGAAAATTGTTAATGAATTTTTTCCTGAGGTAGCATTCAAGTTTTCAAAAATTCCGTAAAAATCCACACTCCGGACACGACCAACAAAAATGTATTCCATATATCAAGAATTCAACAAACAAATGTTTAGTATTATATCCTCTCTTCATTCTGTGAAAATTTGATGAAGATTGGATGAAAAATGGTGGAGTTATTCAAAAAGGTGTAGAGAAAAGTCGCGTTTTCCGAAAACGGCGGATAAAGACAAATAAAAGGAAATGGCGGTGACAAACATGCCCGGTATGGGAAAAATACGGTTTTTGGGGGTTCTTTTGTGATGAAATAGTTGTAGGAAATGCTGAAGAAGCTAAAAATGCCTACAACTCAAATTCCATATTTTTTTGACGAATTTTGACTTTTTAAACAAACTCAACGTGTTAGGAACATCAGCACAACACCAAATGCAACGAAGTTTGGCCTGAAGTATCCATCGACACTGAGAAGTACACATCCAAACAAAGTTGGATATCGAGATTCTAGATCTGGAAAAAGTAGAAGCAGCTGTCTCACACACACGACGAAGCAGCAAAGCACAAACCGAAACGGAAGTAGTCCCCAGTAAAATATGAAATGGCTAATGAAAGAGTGAAAACACCGGAGAGCTTCGTTTTACAGGAAAAACAATCAAACCTGAAAAATCAAAAGGTAGTATCTGAAATTTGAAAATATGACAACGGAACCCTTTTTGACAATTCTTAATTAACTGATTCATATTTTTGAAGATTTTAAAGGCACCTATGGTAAAAAAAATTTAAAAAGTACACTGACCTCACAAACGAACTTAGTTTTATCATAATAAGATTATTATTGTTACCAATGTATCATTAGTACAGGCATGTTGTGGTTCTGCTTTACATTTGTTTTAGCTCATGCATGTCAACAACAAAAAAGAAAAGAAACAAAAGACTCTTAGTACCCCTTGATTAGTAATGCAATTGACCCTTTCAGAATCGAGATTCCAGTTGGAGCTGCTTGATGGCCGTGTTCAAGTGTTGAGACGTCGTGGACAGCGCTTTCAAGATGCCAGCGTTGTGAAAGCAGCCCGCCATGGGGGATATTCTGTGATAGTGTGGGGTGGGATAGTCTTCACAATAGGACTCCTCTCTACCACATTCAAGGCAATCTCAATGCCATTTGCTATCATGATGAGTTTGAACAGCCGCTAGTGGTTCTGCAGCTGCAGCTGATTGGTGCTGGAGCAGTCTTTCAGGACGATCAACGCTAGGCCATACCGTGCTCGTGTTATCAACGATTTCAACACCCAAAATGAAATTAACACACTGCCTTTGTCTGCAAATAGCCCTTATCTAAACCCAGCTGAAGATTTATAGGAAGAGCTAAGGCGCCGTGTTCAGGAAAATTACCCACCGGCAGACACTCTTGGCCAGCTCGTTCATAATCTTGCCAGCTGTTTCATAATCTTCATCAACTGTTTCTGACAAACCTGGTTAGGTCCATGAACAATAGGCGCAGAGAGTGCTTGGCTAATAATGGAGGACTCACTCGTTACTGGGCCTTGTAAAAAGATCTTCCAAATTTGTGTGGGATTTCTTAAGTTTTGGGGTAGCCATTCCCATCATGCATATTGTTGTTGGGATTAACTTATTACAATGTTTGAGGTTATCACATATTTTTTAGATATTAAATAAATGTCTTTAAAAACAGACTTGTTTACATCACTTTGTTCTCATTTTATTTAAATTTATATAAGCATTTCTTAACTATTTTCCAAACAGTGTATTTGCTGACATAAAGCAGTTTGCAGAACGTTTGTTGTGTAACAGAAATTGAGGCATTGACAGTCCAGTCTGTACTTACTTAAGTTCAAGGTGGCGGCATTAACATGGCAACCAAGATCAGACAGATGTGAAGATTTATGTCAACCTTCTTTCGTCTCAAAGTCCACAGTCCACTCCTCAGTATTTTTGTAATCCGCAAAGTCATTAATTATCAAGAGCCCCCCAACCCCTTCTAAAAAAATCCTCTGGTAGATCTGTTATATAAGATGATATGACTAATTAATTATCAAGGTAACCCCCCCCTCTCCTGCGTCCTCTACAGTCAATGCAGCAGACGCCATCGTAAAAGGAAACAGCCTTGAGACTTTTAATAATACCATTGTCCTCTGTCTGAACTGTGTGCTATAAAATAAAGAGCTTTTTCTTTTCTTCTTTTTCCCTCAAGCCAAGTGAAGACAGCTCGGAGTCGTTTACGGATGCACCTTTGTGCAGACAATTTTGATCTTAAAATAGAAAAAAAAATACTGCTGCTGTCAATGAATTTATTTGTGGACTGGAAACAAAAAGGAAGCAAATAAAATTAACAGTAAACAAAATGGAACACTTCTCTGTATTTGGAGAAAGAATGAAAGCTGGTAAGTTCTAGAGATCAAATAAATAGCACAAAGTTTTTACAGTTCATTCATTCAATCATTCGTTCGTTCCTTCATTCATTATTCATTTATCACAGGTAAATTGCAAAGCACATCTAGTTCTACACGCATGTTAATAACGTCTTACTAATAAAGCAGTGAAATCATCTAAATTGTGCCTACAGGAGCGTAAAACATTCTGCTATTACAATAAGTCCTTCCCAGTCACGTATATTCTGAGAGAAGTTAAAACGTGAACTGTTGATGGTGATAATATATGAGGGACAAGACAACTGAAACAAGAGTAGTCAGGTTTGCAGTATGTCAACAATGGGGTTGGCGCTCCGTTAGTTCGTTTGATATCAAGCTGGACTACAGAGTGCATGGCCCTGGTTCGCATCCCAAACTAAGCGTTCTTGACTAATGTGTAGTTTTTAAGGCGCTCAGGCCTACTACCTTGGTCCTGTTGGAGTTGAAAGTTAAAACAACTCAATCATGTTTATAGGGGTGTTAACACTTTGAATACTATGCATGAATTTAAACGAATATCTAATTTGCAGGGTATAAAAAAATACAGACCATTAATATAACAATATATAAAAGTATTCTTAATTAATACACCGAAATAATAAAGGTATGCATATTTTATACAACGACTTGGTACCGTTTTGATAACAATTAATACAACGATTAAATAAAGGTATCAGAATGTATACAGACATTAAGTGAAGGTTTCTGATGATTGACGCATCAGTTAGTTTGTTTTTTATATGGTACGAATAATCTATGAGACACAATTGTTTGGTAAATGCCGTTAAACTCTTGCTTAAACTGATGACACCACTTTTATTGGAAAAGTTCCAGTAGACCTTTCTTCGGTGCTTAGGACATCAAATCATTTGGTAGCTGTTCTAGGTTTAAGCTGAACAAGGTTAAGTAACAATTAATTATCTGAAACTAATAGCACAGTTTATACTGCTGTCGAAATTTTGTCCAACACGACAGCCCATTGGTGGGGAGAAAAACGGTAATCTCAAACATGTAGGGACGTCTTGTTTGTATCAGAATGATAATATAAAACGGAAGAGGGTAAAGTGGAAAGTGGGTGTTTGCACAGGCCTTAGAGAGATGGCCGCTAGTGAGAGTTCGACTTCTTGTTCATTTCAAGATGGCGGTATTAACATCCTAACAAAGAGACCAGCCATGGGGAAATTGTGTCAATCATAATACTGTTTGGCCACAAGGTGAAATAAAATACAACAATTAGTTTGTAGATAACAACGCACATGCTAAAAGTCCACTCCCCCCC